TAAAAATACTGTCTTTATGTTTGACTTTATATGGTAAAACAAGAACAGGTGGTTAAGTGTTTTCCCCATTCAAATGTACATGTATATATTATATTCATTGTGTTTGTATTCATGCCATAGTTAGCTTTTCATTGCTATGAGAGGGCATAATTAAAATGTTGCTTGCTCTTTTCTCTTAGTTTTGCAGCATTGATGCCGATCATGAGGACGAGACCCTCGGCCGGCTGGTGAATGATGACCATCTGCACCCTAACTGCACTGTCAATAAGATCGTTGTTCAGAGAAAACCTCATTTGTGCCTTTTTGCAATCAGGGATATTTTCTTTGGAGAGGAAATAACGTTTGACTATGGCGCATGTGATTGGCCTTGGAGAAAGGTTTGACATTTTGATCACTTAATACATTAATCCTTAATACATTCAGCAAAGCTAAGAGTTTTTTAATGTTAATATAGATTAAGGGTAAATCTGTTCAAAAATAAAGAGTTTGCATCATTCATAAGAGATAATGAAATCAATCTCTTAATATCTTCTTCTTGTCTTAATGGGTAAAAAAAAGTTTAATTAATTGGGTAATGCTTTACTTTAAAGGGGGGGTTCATAAGACTGTCATGAAAGCTTTATAGTCATGACATGACTTATATAACAAAGCTGTTTTTAAATAGCTTTCATTGAAGGATGCCCATATGACTGCAGAAGAGAACTGCTCCGACAACTCTCTGATGAGGTGTGTTTATTAGTATTATTATTATTATTAGTAGTAGTAGTAGTGAATGTTGTTGCTGTAGTAATGCATTTAATTTTAATTATTTAACTTGGTGTGTGTCCTAATTTATGAACATATGCAATAGTGTAACATTGTGGGGACCAGAGGCATGTTAGAGAAGCTGTGAAACACACTTAGTCCTCAATACACACACAGTACGGTCTGACATAGTGGGGACCAGGAGCCCTGAGTACTACTGTCTAATTATTATTTTTTGTTTTTTATATTCAGCTTTTATTGAAGTATGACCAAATGACGAGAAGAAGAGAACTGCTCTGCTCCAGTAGGAGACCCACAACCCTCTGATGAGGTGGGTTTAAATTTAATAATAATAATAATTATTATTATTAGTAGTAGTAGTAGTAGTTGTTGTTGTTGTTGTAGTAGTAGTGCATTTAATTGTAATTATTTAACTTAATCAAAATCTAGAAATAAAACCGAGTGTGTGTCCTAATTGGTGAACGTATGCACTAGTGTAACATTGTGGGGACCAGAGGCATGTTAGAGAAGCTGTGAAACACACTTAGTCCTGAATACACACACAGTACGGTCTGACATAGTGGGGACCGGAACCCTTGAGTACTGCTGTCTTACTAATATATATATATATTTTTTTTTCAGCTTATATTGAAAGTTGACCATATGACAGAGGAAGAGAACTGCTCTGCTCCAGTACGTGACCCACAAATCTCTGATGAGGTGTGTTTAATGTTGTTGTTATTATTATTATTAGTAGTAGTAGTTGTAGTAGTTGTTGTAGTAGTAGTAGTGCATTTAATTGTAATTATTTATCTTAATCAAAATATAGAAATGAAACAGAGTGTGTGTCCTAATTGGTGAACGTATGCACTAGTGTAACATTGTGGGGACCAGAGGCATGTTAGAGAAGCTGTGAAACACACTTAGTCCTGAATACACACACAGTACGGTCTGACATAGTGGGGACCGGAACCCTTGAGTTCTGCTGTCTAACTAATATAATTTTTTTTATATTCAGCTTTTATTGAAGGATGACCATATGACAGAGGAAGAGAACTGCTCTGCTCCAGTACGAGACTCACAACTCTGATGAGGTGTGTTTATTATTGTTGTTGTTGTTGTTATTATTATTAGTAATAGTAGTAGTAGTAGTAGTAGTAGTAGTAGTAGTGCATTTAATTGTAATTATTTATCTTAATCAAAATCTAGAAATGAAACAGAGTGTGTGTCCTAATGTATGAACATATGCACTAGTGTAACATTGTGGGGACCAGAGGCATGTTAGAGAAGCTGTGAAACACACTTAGTCCTGAATACACACACAGTACGGTCTGACATAGTGGGGACCGGAACCCTTGAGTACTGCTGTCTAACTAATATATATATATTTTTTATATTCAGGTTTGCTGAAGTATGACCATATGACAGAAGGAGAGAACAGCTCTGCTCCAGTACGAGACCCACAACTCTCTGATGAGGTGTGTTTATTAATATTGTTGTTGTTGTTGTTGTTGTTGTTGTTATTATTACTAGTTGTTGTAGTAGTAGTAGTGGTTGTTGTAGTAGTGGTGCATTTAATTGTAATTATTTAACTTAATCTAAATATAGAAATGAAACAGAGTGTGTGTCCTAATTTTTGAATGTATGCACTAGTGTAACATTGTGGGGACCAGAGGCATGTTAGAGAAGCTGTAAAATACACTTAGTCCTGAATACACACACAGTACGGTCTGACATAGTGGGGACCGGGACCCTTGAGTACTGCTGTCTAACTAATATATATTTTTTATTTTTTTTATCCAGCTTTTATTGAAGGATGACCATATGACAGAGGAAGAGAACTGCTCTGCTCCAGTACGTGACCCACAACTCTGATGAGGTGTGTTTATTATTGTTGTTGTTATTATTAGTAGTAGTAGTAGTTGTTGTTGTAGTAGTAGTAGTGCATTTAATTGTAATTATTTAACTTAATCAAAATCTAGAAATGAAACAGAGTGTGTGTCCTAATTTTTGAATGTATGCACTAGTGTAACATTGTGGGGACCAGAGGCATGTTAGAGAAGCTGTGAAACACACTTAGTCCTGAATACACACACAGTACGGTCTGACATAGTGGGGACCGGAACCCTTGAGTACTGCTGTCTAACTAATATAAATTTTTTTATATTCAACTTATATTGAAGGATGACCTTATGACAGAGGAAGAGAACTGCTCTGCTCCAGTACGAGACTCACAACTCTCTGATGAGGTGTGTTTAATGTTGTTGTTATTATTTTTATTAGTAGTAGTAGTAGTAGTAGTTGTAGTAGTTGTTGTTGTAGTAGTAGTGCATTTAATTGTAATTATTTAACTTAATCAAAATCTAGAAATGAAACAGAGTGTGTGTCCTAATTTATGAACATATGCACTAGTGTAACATTGTGGGGACCAGAGGCATGTTAGAGAAGCTGTGAAACACACTTAGTACTGAATACACACAGTAAGGTCTGACGTAGTGGGGACCGGGACCCTTGAGTACTACTGTCTAACTAATATATATATATATACATTTTATTTTTTTCAGCTTTTATTGAAGGATGACCATATGACAGAGGAAGAGAACTGCTCTGCTCCAGTAGGAGACCCACAACTCTGATGAGGTGTGTTTATAATAATAATAATAATAACAATTATTATTATTATTATTATTATTATTATTATTATTAGTTGTAGTAGTAATAGTAGTTGTTGTTGTAGTAGTGGTGTATTTAATTGTAATTATTTAACTTAATCAAAATATAGAAATGAAACAGAGTGTGTGTCCTAATTGGTGAACATATGCACTGACATTGTGGGGACCAGAGGCATGTTAGAGAAGCTGTTAAACACACTTAGTCCTCAATACACACACAGTAAGGCCTGACATAGTGGAGACCGCGAACCTTGAGTACTGCTGTCTATGTCTGATAATATTTTTTTCTTCTGGAAAAAGTCTTATTTGTTTTATTTTGACTAGAATAAAAACAGTTTAAATTTTTTTAAACACCATTTAAGGGACAAAATTATTAGCCTCTTTAAGCTATATTTTTTTCTCGATAATCTACAGAACAAACCATCGTTATACAATAACTTGACTAATTACCCTAACCTGCCTAGTTAACCTAATTACCCTAGTGAAGCCTTTAAATTTCACTTTAAGCTGTATAGAAGTGTCTTAAAGAATATCTAGTCTAATATTATTTACTGTCGTCATGACAAAGATTAAATAAGTCCATTATTAGAAATGATTATTAGAAATAGTTATTAAAACTATTATGTTTAGAAATGTGTTGAAAAAAATCTCTCCGTTAAACAGAAATTGGGGAAATAATAAACAAGCTGTCTAATAATTCAGGGGGGCTAATAATTCTGACTTCAACTGTATATGAAGAGTTTCATTGCAGAGCGAGATATATCCATTTAAAAAAATGTTGGTTATTTTGACATTATTTTTCATGACATTAACTGTCAAGTTCATTCACAATTTTTGTACATTAAACTATAACTTGAGCTCAGTGAAGGCCAGGAACACAATATTTTCAAATCCAGGATATTTTTTATTTAATTTTATGTCTATAATTAAGTAAAAAAACATGCCAAAATGCTACATATTAATCCAACCCACATTGTCAAACATCTTAAATTGGTTAAAAAAAAAACTATACACCATAAATATATGGAATAATATATGCAAAGATTGATTAATAATAATAAGATTCTAAGTTAGATTTGGCCAGAATGTACACAACATAACATAACTTTATTTAATTTTTTTTTTTGCAAAACGCTACATCCACCTTAGGCTATATTATACTACATTAATACCATTACCAAAAGCTAGTGAATCAATGTTTTGTTTGATAAGTAAGATTAAGTTAGTTAGATAAATGACCTTTAGCTTGGTACAGAAAGAGTGGAGGGCGGCTCCTTCCACACCGCTGCAGAAAACCAAACCTGTATGATTAGAGCGGGCGGAGCTGAGTCTGCGACACAAACTTGCCTCGCTATGTCATATTTAATGAATTATTTCACTGTAATAATAATAATAATAATAGCTTATTTATTTGGTTGTGAAAAAGCTAAACCGTTTTCTCCATAACAACATGTGCCCTTTAAGTTCCTTTGTAATAAATCAACAACAACAAGAATTAGTTATAAATAATAGGTGCAACCACATAAATAAATCTTCAGATAGGCTACTCAGCTACATGTAAGAAATTATTTAAAAAATAAACTTATAAAGGACACTTGGAAATGTCGCCTTGCAGACAGGTATCTTGTGATGGGGAGTAGGAAAAAAGGCGCTCCTAGGCCTTCTCTTGACATCAGCGGAGACTCGTTCCCTGCTGCATTTGTGTATTGTTGACGCAGAAGTATCTTATTCTGGTCCACTTTTGTGGCCTTTTTATAAATTTTTGTGAAGTTGAAGACTTCATCTTCTATCGCTAAATCAATGAGCAAACTCTGAGCACTTCACCGGCGATGACCCTCTTCCCAGGGGATGCTAAGCTCGCGCCGCATCCTGAACGTTCTCTAACTGTTATATCGCACTTTGTAAAGTAACTGGTCTGACGGAAATTGTGTTTTGTGAAAAAAAAATACGTTTTGTACTTGGCCTAAAATGTGCATTCTTAAATGTTATTAATGGCAGCAATTCACACATAGATTAAGGTACATCTGAACAGTGATTTCCAATAATAAAATCCAAATGTCAAAAAATGCCGTTTATCGCATTTTGCAACCTAACTCTTCATATGTATGTGAGTTATGACTGTATGACTGCAGAAGAGAACTGCTCTGTTCCCACAACTCAGTTTTTCTGGTATTTGAAAACAGACGCTCAGAAGATTTTAAAGGGTGGAATCTTGATCAAATCGTGGGTTTACACACGAACATGTAATACAGTGCCAGATTTTCTGGATGTTATATACACATTTGTATTTGCAAACATATATCATAATGTTTTAAATTATGTATTTTTGTGTGGGTTTTTACATTCAGAGAAAGTTACAGTGGATCGTGATTTTGGAGGAGGTGAAGTCCAATCTAAAAGGTAAAAATATTATTTATTTTTCTGATCAGAATTTTTCTTTTTTCAGAATGTTAATTTTTATCATGATATGTATGTGCTATGTTTGAAAACTATATTTAAGCTACCATCACACGATTTTACCCATTAAAAAGAACAACACAAAATCAAATAAATATTTTGGTAAGCTTTCTGCAGAGAAGTCAACTCTCAGACTTGATTTTTACTTTCAGAGTCCCCTCAAGTATCATCACCATGGTACAGTGTCTGTGAAGATAGTGATGCAGACCCAGCATTCACAAAAAAAGAGAGGTATGATCATTAAAGTTAATTTGTGACTGACTTGTGTTATTGTACAAGTCCAAATGCACAAGCTCATTTACATAACATGTAGGGTAAAACAGGACAGAAGCACATTACTTCCATGATGATTTCAGTACAGTGGCACTTGATGTCTCATTTCATGTTAGTTAAACAATATTGCTAAATACTTTGGAAAAATATACTAATTGCATATCTGGTTACACTTTATTTTGATAATCTACTACTACTACTAACTACAAGTATCTGCAACTACTTGTCAACTAACAGCCATTAGACTGTCTGTTAGAATCAACACTGCTAATGCTCTACTAAATTTATATAAGAGTTAGTCATATTGTACTAATTTTGAGCGTAACCTAACAGTCTGCTGTACTATTTACTGAGACCAATGAGAGTTGGTTTTATTGAGGTAACCTTAACTGTCAGCTAATACTCTACACTCTAAAATTAATAAAAATAAGTAATAATAATTAAATTAGCAGTTTTTCATAATTTGTGATTCATGTTTTTATGAAATCTGTTTGTTTCTGCTTTTGAATTGCATTATGGGATCTTGATCTTTCTTCCAACAACTTTTAATCTTAAAAAGTAAAAAAAAGTGACTTTTTGTTTGGGTTGGTGTTGTATATTATGCTACAGAAACCTTGTAATAAACTGCCGGTACATTTTCTGTTATTCTAAAGACTTATTTATCTCTATATATTATTTCTTATACATTATATTATTTCAAACTACTAAAATGTCAGTAAAAGTCACTTTGTTAAACTGTAGAGTTGAATTTTCAACATCAAAAGTGCACAGAGCAGAGATCAACATCCCATAATGCAATTCACCACCACAAAAAAAAAAAAAAAAACACTTGTAAATCACAAAATACAGGAACTGGTAATTAACAGATATGTGTTACAGTGTAGTGTTTTGAGCTAAACTTGAGCTAACAGTCTGCTAATACTCTACTGCAGTGGTTCTCAAACTTTTTTCATCAAGTACCACCTCAGAAAAAAATTGTCTCTCCAAGTACCACCAAAAATGAGCAGTATTGAAATACAGTAGCGTAGTAGGCTCAGTAAAGCGGCTACAACTCTGCTCAGATAAAAAAAACGTGGCAGATTACCTCAGAAATATAGGCTATATGTCATATATGGCATATTATATACATAATTTTTGATAAATTTTAAAATATATGTAGCATGTACATGACATATTTCATTCCTCCGCGTACCACTAGAAGGAAGCCCGCGTACCACTAGTGGTACACGTACCACAGTTTGAGAACCACTGCTCTACTGATAATCAGATGAGCGTTAGTCTTATTGAACATTCTAACAGTATGCAAATACTCTAATACATAATACTTTACGGTGAGATAATTAACGTAGTTGCAGAGTTACGCATAGTTAGAAGAATGTCTAAACTGGACTATGGAATAAAGTGTAACCACATTAACCAGTTTTGGAGTTAATAGGAAGTATTTTTTAATCCATCTCCATCTTAAGTATTTTTAATAATAGGCAAGACATATTTTTCTAGCATTTTCTATCACAATATTAAACTAACATAACAGCACATGTTGTAAAAATGACTGAACATTTATGCAACTAAAACCACTTTTTTATATTTTAACCACCCATAGGTCCCATAAAGAGAAGATCCTGGAGCAAACAGGAAGTACATGCTGTGGTGAAAGCTGAACCATTGGCTCTAAAAACCAGAGATTGGTCAGCTTTGGATATTTATATTAAAAACTGAATCTCTACTCTGAATAACACTTTCATAGTAACTGCACACTATACATCATTAGTTTAGCACTAACTCTACATAAATAGACTTTAGGAAGCAGTTTATAAATACAGCTTCAAACGCTGTATTCTTGACTTGACTTAATTGTATTTTCATGCTTTGTTACTAATTCATTTTTCATTACTATATTATGTATTGCATTATTTACAAACTATTTGTATATAAGAGTAGTTGGTGGTTTTTAAGATAATTCAGAATGAGTTAATAAATGATTAATAAACTATTCAAATGAACATTTATACATGTTATATTCAGGCAGTAATTGTAACCATGTGTGTTAGTAAATGCTATAATAACACAACTTCATGCAGTTTTGTGACCTAAGGACTGTTTATAGTTGATAAATACCTTATAAATGACAATTTAGGGCTCAGTATCTAATGAACAATAAATCTTTGCAATCTTATTAAAAAAATTCTGTAAAGTTTAAACATTGCAAAATAAAAATACAACATCATTTCAAAACAACATAATTAACAACATGACAATATTCATTTCAGTGTTTCTGTGATGTTTGCACTGTACAGTAATTTTATATTTTGATAAGATTGCAAAGATTTATTTTTCATTAGATAGTTTCATTTGTGTATCTTGAAATTAATGAAAAAAAAAAAAAATATATATATATATCTTCTTTGGCCTTAGTCCCGTATGATTGCGGGGTCAGCTCTTTTTGGAACAAGTCCTTCAGTTTTAGACTTGTCCATATGATAACGACTTTTTTACACCTTCCGGCCAGCCTGTCATATGGGCCTGTCACACTCATACACTACGGACAATTTAGCCTTCCCAATTCACCTGTAGCATGTCTTTGGACTGTGCCTTTGCACCCGGAGGAAACCCACACGAATGCAGGGAGAACATGCAAACTTCTCACAGAAATGCCAACTGAGCCGAGGTTCAAACCAGTGACCCAGCGACCTTCTTGCTGTGAGGCGACAGCACTACCTACCGCGCCACTGCTTCACCATATATATATATATATAAAGCTATGAATCACTCCCCCTTTTAATTTATTTATTTTTTCTGTTTAGAATATAGCTGAGATTTTAATTGTCATTTATAAGGGATTTATAAAGCATCAATAGTCCTCACTTTACATTAGCTCACAAAACTGCATGAAGTTGAGTTCATAAAGCATTTATTATTAGAAAGAGTAACCATTACTATAAGCCTGATTAATTAGTTATATAAATGTTGGGTAACACTATAATAACTGCACACAATGAATTATTTATGAAACATTAGCAAATAGTTAGTTGAACGTTTGTTAAGCATTAACGCTACATTAATAGACATTAGTAAGCAGTTTATAAATTATATTTATAAATATAAATTACAAATATTATTGACTTATAAGCACAATTATAATGTGCTTAATGATTGTTTTCATACTTGGTAAATAATGCAATACTTAATTTAGTAATGAAAAATACATCATTAACAAACCAGATATTTAAAAGTAGTTGGTGTTTTTTTTAGATAATTCAGAATGTGCAAGTAAATGATTAATAAACTATTAAAAATAACATTGATAATTCTTATTATTCAGGCATATAATAAGTTGTTTAGTATGTTAATAAATGCTTTATGAACTCAACTTCATGCAGTTTTGTGATCTAATCTAAAGCGAGGACTATTCATGCTTTATAAATCCATTATAAATGACAATATAAGGCTCAGTTACATTATATACAGGAAAAAAATGACTATTAATTTCTACTTATTACAAGATGCTCAAATGAAACTGTATCAAATGAAAAGTAAATCATTGCAATCTTGTCTAAATATAAAATTGCTTTACACGTAATGTATTGTTAAATTATTATATTGTTGTTTTATCAAATGATGTTGTATTTTGACACTCCTGTTATTCAGCAATGTTTAAAATTTACAGTAATTGTATTCGTTTAGGTACGATTGCAAATACTTATTGTTTATTTGATACTGAGCCTGGCAACGCAGTGGCGCAGTAGGTAATGCTGTCACCTCACAGCAAGAAGGTCGCTGGTTCGAGCCCTGGCTGGGTCAGTTGGCATTTCTGTGTAAGGTTTGCATGTTCTCCCTGTGTTGGTGTGGGTTTCCTGCAGGTGCTCCTACATGCGGTACAGGTGAATTGGGTAGCCTAAAATGGTCCGTAGTAAATGAGTGTGTATGTGTATGGATGTGTCCCAGGGATGGGTTGCAGCTGGAAGGGCATCCGCTGCATAAAAACGTGCTGGATAAGTTGGTGGTTCAATCCGCTGTTGCGACCCCGGAATAATAAAGAGAGAAAACCAAAATGAAAATAAATGAATAAATGAATGATTCTGAGCCTTTAATTGTCATTTATAAGGGATTTATAAAGCATCAATATTCCTCGCTTTAGATTAGATTACAAAACTGCATGAAGTTGAGTTAATAAAGCATTAATTAACATGCAGAAAAACGTATTATATGCAGGGCTCCAAACCGGTTCAAGGAACGGAAACGAAAAACGGAATCAAATGACATTTTTCAGGAACAGAAACGAAAACTGAAAAAAAAGATCAACTTTAATCGTTCTGAACAGAAATGTTTACAGTTAAACGGTTAATAATGTTATTTTATTGTTCTTTTTATTATATGAATTTGGGAGACAAAAAGCATTAATTTAAAGCATGTGAACAAATGCGACGGTGACGCTCGTTTTTATATAAACTATAAATGTCTGGCCGTGATGCGTATTTAGGCCTATGCCAGTCTATAAAAAGATAATGTAGCTTAAAACACTTTAAAATTTTAGAGAACGTAATACAGTTTGCACAACCAATGTTTGGTCTTAATAACCTGCCCATAATTAAACCTCATGTAGCCTACTTTTTGATTACTTGACCAGCGGATTAATGGCAGCACCAGCGGATAATCGAGATCTGAGCATAATAGGTATGACCAGTATGTGCATAACCAATATGCAAAGTCAAGAGAGTGCACGACTCCATAGGGTAACGTAGCCTAAACTGCGCACACTTGATTATGTAATGTGTGAAATCGTGGACGCATCTCAAAGAGCAAAGCATAACTTATTAAATGCCCATGCTTAATCGGTCATCGATAAGGTCTATCGGTTTTAAAGGGTTACCGACAATAAATCAATCGAGTGATCGTTAGCATCCCTAGTTTAATCAATGAATGTGTTAAATTTTATATTTATATTAAAGATGAATAAGGCAAGAATATAATTAATGATACTTTTTAGATTTTTACACCTACAAAAATATCTTGTGGTAGGGCACTTGTTTAATAAAAATCTTTGTAAATAGGTTATCTGTAAAAAACGCAATCAGAGCCAATGACATGTAGAAGTAGTGTTGCCTAAACGGCTATTAAATTTCTAATAAAATTAAAACCAAAGTATAACTCATTGCATTTTTCGTTTGATAAAAATATACAGAAACTAAATAAAATCATAAGGATGCTAGTTTGTAATTTATGTTAATAATAATAAAATGACATGCTTAGACTATAAGCTTAACGGCTATACGCTGCCAATAGGCCATTAATAAATAATATTTTACTTTGTACTGGATTATAATGTATATTTTACAATAAAAACTTAATATAGCATGTATTACTGACATTTAAAACAAGTAATTGAAAATACACATCAGAACTGTAGACCTGCAGTGGGTAAACTGTATACAGGGGGTGTTGGTCAATCAATAGCCTACAGCACATAATTGAACTAATTATGATGCTAACTGTAATTTAGCTCTTAATATAGGCCTACGATATGTTTAATTTTGCATGAGCAAATAGCAGTATAGCCTAAAGTAATTTTTTTAAAAAGATTATCATTTACCCTACCTGCAGCACATGTGAGACGTGGATCTGCAGCAAATTCACTTACACACTAGGCTATATCTATTTAATTTATAACCATGTAAACTTGACTTCGCAGGCCATTCATCTTTAAACGCAAAGGGCATTTTTAAGTGTCCTAACTTGACTGCTGCTGCATAATGGGATGTTTCTTTACAAAACTGTAAAAGTGCGCTTTAGCATGTCAAAATGAAAGCAAACGTTCAAAAGAGTTCTGTGTTTTGTCAATTTTACTAATATTAATAATAATGGATATAATAAATTTAAATAATAATTGCACTGTGCAGTGTACTAAACATTTTTATTAGGCTATTTAACTGAAAAACTATTTCATAACAATTTTCATAATTTAATTGCTATTTCATATTATACAACATCTAAATGTAGCGCCGGGCCTGCGCTCGATACCAAGGAGTGGGGCTGTGTGTAGCGAATTATAAACAAAGTATGAAGACACAAAAATTTAGCACATTACACATGCTTATAAGTCAACAATAGAGCATCTAGCTGTGTTTATAAACTGCTTACTATTAATGTAGAGTTAATGCTTAACAAATGATGTCTATTTGGAGTTTTGGTGGCTTGGTTATATGATGAAGGTCTCTGTGCATTTGTGGGGTTCAGTTCTTTATTAATATATTTTAAAATATTTTTAATGTTTTTTTTTTCAAATAGTTAAAATACGACAGAAACAGAAATAGAACATACTGGTGGGTTTTAAGAGTTTACCCAAAAATGTACATTATATTATTAATTACTTGCCCTCATCTCACTCTAACCCCCTGAGACCTTCATTCATCTTCAGACTCAAAGGAAGATAACTTAGATGAAGTGCAAGAACTCCTCATCCTCCATAGACAGCAAGGGATTGAAAAAATATGAAGGAGAGGAATTAATAACAGAATCTTCATTTTGGGGTGAACTAACCATTTAATATTGTTTGCTATTGCACTTAACTAAATGTGTACGCAGACATGGAAGAGTTATGTGGAAGCTTGTTATACCCAATGAGAACTGCTTTTAGACAAGCAAGAGAGTTTCATGGATTTTGTGTTTACTGTTTTTTTTTTGTGTTTAAAGGTTTTGTGGAAATTCTTTATAATAAATATAACATTTATTAAATTTATTCTGGACCATTTCCTGTTTGGATCTTGAGGTTCCTTCTGTATTCAAATTACATTTTTTATAAACTGACCTGCTCTTCAAATGAAAATTCTAAAGCAGTTTACTGTCAAATTACTTGATTGAGGTTTAAAATTTAATATTAGTAAGGGTGCTGATCTGATCCCCACGTTGCCTAAAAACCGGTAATGTGTGTGTAGAACTGGTCCTTACTTTGACTAAAAAACGGTAATGTGTGTGTAGATCTGGTCCTTACTTTGACTCAAAACCAGTGATGTGTGTGTAGATCTGGTCCCTACTTTGACTCAAAACCAGTGATGTGTGTGTAGATCTGGTCCCTACTTTGACTCAAAACCAGTGATGTGTGTGTAGATCTGGTCCTTACTTTGACTCAAAACCAGTGATGTGTGTGTAGATCTGGTCCTTACTTTGACTCAAAACCAGTGATGTGTGTGTAGATCTGGTCCTTACTTTGACTCAATACCAGTAATGTGTGTGTAGACCTGGTCCTTACTTTGACTCAAAACCAGTAATGTGTATGTAGACCTGGTCCTTACTTTGACTCAATACCGGTAATGTGTGTGTGTAGACCTGGTCCTTACTTTGACTCAATACCAGTAATGTGTGTGTAGACCTGGTCCTTACTTTGACTCAATACCGGTAATGTGTGTGTAGACCTGGTCCTTACTTTGACTCAATACCAGTAATGTGTGTGTAGATCTGGTCCTTACTTTGACTCAATACCGGTAATGTGTGTGTAGACCTGGTCCTTACTTTGACTCAATACCGGTAATGTGTGTGTGTAGACCTGGTCCTTACTTTGACTCAATACCGGTAATGTGTGTGTAGATCTGGTCCCTACTTTGACTCAATACCAGTAATGTGTGTGTAGACCTGGTCCCTACTTTGACTCAATACTGGTAATGTGTATCTGGAACTGGTCCTTACTTTGTCTCAAAACCAGTAAAGTGTGTGTAGAATTGGTCCCCACTTTGTCTAAAAATCGGTTGTGTATGTGGCGGACCCCACTTCTACACAAAACCTGAAATGTCCCCACAAGTGACCACTGTGTCAGGTCTAAAAAAAAATTTGCGGAATATGCAAAATCTGAAGTGATTTTATGAAATAGTTTGTGTTTTTGTGTGGCAAACTATTTTTTTTATGTCTCTAACATCATCAAAAAGGGCGGTCCCCATTACGTAACCACCGTGACAGGTGACCCCCACAATGCACAAAAACAAGTATGTGTGTGTGTGTGTGTGTGTGTGTGTGTGTGTGTGTGTGTGTGTGTGTGTGTGTGTGTGTGTGTGTGTAAAAGAAGAAAAAAACTCAAACAGAAATGTGAGTCCTGTTGACATGTTCACAGTTTAAACTATCCATTTGGAAAACACTACATGATTCAATCTGTTAAACACAAACTATCATACACTTGCTGACTTGGTTAATAAATATTTAAAAGAAGAAGAAAAAGAAACTGAACATCATAAATTGCTGAACACACCAGACTTTGAAGTTGTTCAGAACACAACACAACTCACACAGAAAGATGTGCCTTGTTGCTAGGAAACACATGACAAATTTACACAGTATGCATTCTAAAATTGGCTCAAAATGTCATACATGTTTGATGCCCTTGGATTGAATGGAATCACAGTTTGACGCTCAAATCCACACATCATGCACTACAGTATGTGATTTTCTGTCAATCGATCCATTCTGAGTACATTTTCCTGCAACTAGACTAGACTCAGATTGAAAATGGGAAGATGAGTTGTGTTTTCCAGCCTTTACACACACTGCTGAAACCTCTAGTGAATAGTCTAAACTTTGTTAACCTTACACACTTTACTAAACCATGCACGGAATACTAACGCCTCTAGCCTTAAAATGTTACTTTCTGTTTACACCCACTACTTTCATTCCTAATCTATCTTGAAGGCCACCCCAAACTGGCATCAAAACATTAGCGGTGATGAAAGCTGACTGTGGTGTCACTGCATGTCACCTGAGGTCATGCTAGAAATTTGCACTTGAACACAATGCAAAAACACTGACTAAGTATCACGAACACTTGATATCTGCATGGGAGGGGGGAAAAACTCTTCAGACCAAAAGGTGGCAGCAGTTTGGTTTCATCTTTTTGAAGGAGGGAGGTACTGCAGAAATACAAATCAAAACTCTGAAAGACTTTACCCTCGATGCCCTGTTCCCTTCAAAGTGGTTTAGCCACCATGAGAGAAAAAAAAAATTCTAAAAAATAAATCCTACATTATCTACATATCAGATGTGCACATATAATTGTATGGCTAATTTACCATAAAAGTGTGGCTTAAACCTTGCTTGCACTACCAAAACCTGTCAATCTAATAAACGGTAGAAGATTTTCTAATATTCATGTATAGTCACTAGTCAAGCTATAGCATTACAACTTGTTCAAACAGTACTTAACCATCTAATCGATAGTCTATACCAGGGGTGCTCAACCCTGTTCCTGGAGATCTACCTTCCTGCAGATTTCAGTTGCAACCCTTATCAAACACACCTGTTTGTAATTATCAAGTGCTGTTTAGGTCCTAATTAATTGGTTCAGGTGTGTTTGATCGGGGTTGGAGCTAAACTCTGTAGAAAGGTAGATCTCCAGGAACAGGATTGAGCACCCCTGGGGCCTCATGCATCAACGCTGCGTACGCACAAAAACTTTGCGTACGCCAGGTTTCACGCTCAGTATCGCTCACGTTTGAACTGAATGTGGGAATGTGCGCAGCTTCACGGCAGCTTTCTGGCTGGCGTACGCACATTTTTTGTGCGTGTCTGTTTTATTTCCATTGGCGACTCCTAGAGGCAGTTGTGTTAAATTCCTCTCTACAAAGTGTCTGAGCCTTGCAATGGCAGCTGTATGAGACGGGGGGGGTTATCTAGCAGATATATAAGGTTTCCATACCATACAGTTGACCAGCCAAACATTACAGCGCAATTTGCAGCGGTCGCCTGTTGTCCCAATGTAATCTGAGCTATCTACTGCACGCACATTGCTATAAAGACACTATCTGATAATTAATTTGCATGCATGAATCAGAAACATTTCCATTCAGTAAATGTGCAAATAAAATATGATGCACAAACTTATTAATGATTCCTACTAGTCTTTCTTGTGATAAATAGTTGGCAAAGTCTGATATATAGCGGGGGAAAAAAGCATGACTTCATCAGAGGCTGGATTCGAACCGAGTTCATGCTCGAACGTGTCAAAACATGTTGATATGCTTTTTTCGAGCTGCGCCACTGAGACTGTTAAGGGTACTGCACCATTTTACACCTAAAAACCACACTATGCGTTTTTTAAATTTACTCAGTGCGATGTTCAGACCCAACTGTGTTAACCGCATCAGCTAAACTCTCCCACTCTATTTTTTTCTTTTGTTGTTAATTCCGGAGGACAATCTTGCAAATAACACCGCTTTTCTCCGGTCTACCTCCGAAAGCAGCACCTCCATTTCACATTCTGTTCAAAGTTTCTCTTTTTGCTTGATTTTGCCATTGCTTTTTTGTTGGGTTTTGCCATTAGCATTGTCATTAGCATATTCATACGGGGGAGGAGGCAGGGAGGGGTTTTGTGCTCATGCATGTTGAGCTCAGTTTCACGTTCATTCGGATGTACAAAAGAATATGCGTGAGATTCGGCGTACGCAGTGTTTCATACATCTGAATTTTTTTCTGCGTACGCACATTTACAGCTTTGTGCGTACGCAATGTTTTAGTAAGATTTCCACGCAAGTCTTCGTACATGAGGCCCCTGGTCTATACTAACTGATTACCAATCCTTTACATGCACCTCTGAAACTTTAGTCACTAGTCCAACCAAACAGATCACATTCACTAGTTTAACCTAAAGGATCACTAAGCTTTACATACACCTTAAAAAACCTCTTGTCACAACTTTAACCTACAGACCACTGAAACTTACATGAACCTTTCCCTTCACTTCGTCAATTGGTGAAGTTCATTTCCACTGTTGGCCACTGGCTTCTTCAGATTTGGACTTGTGGAGCTGCGCATTGATAGATTTGCTCTTCAGTGTTTGAATTTTCAGCAGTGCAATTTAAACCACACTAAACTGAACTAAACTGAACTTAAACTAGACCAGAATTATGTTATGCTTCTTTGACACAATCATTATTGTAAAAGCGCTATAGATAAACTGTATGAACATTATTGAAACGACTCTCTATTCTACACTATCAGATCCAATATTTGTTGCACAAAGAAAGTTGAACAAACTCCAGGTTGCAGGGTAAGATTTGGGTTGACATTGCCAAACAAATCCAACCTGTTTAAAATCAGGTTAAGTGGTTTATAATGCTTGGTATTAACCATGTCTGTTAACTGAGTATTTAATCCAGAGTCTGTGATTAATTTTAGACTGCATGTACCTGAGTGTGTGATGGATGCCGATTACAGCCAATCACATGAGACATGCATACCTGTCAACCCTTCGGATTTTGCCGGGATTCTCTAGTATTTCACCATTTAATCCTGCTATCATCCCGTTTAAGCATTTTCTCGTATTTCTCCTGTATTTTTAATCTGTCGATAAAAGGTGTATTTAGAATCCTAGAGTTGATCTCTAATGTGATAATTGTTAAAGCTGTTCAAGAGAATTATGCTTTTGCTTTATATTTGTCTTGAAAGCATGTTGAAATTAATATTAAAACAGCTGCATTCACTTCATTTTCATTAAAGTTATGCGTCTACTATCTCCCTTCCTACGCAGCCTCTGAATTTATCTAGTCATTTATCGATGCTGACTGAAGGACGCGTTTTTTAACTTTCATTCTTCAAGGGACAGCTCTGCTATCAAACAAAACAGTGGATCAAAAAACGAAATTCGCAGCTCTTGACTAAATAACTAGTCTCGTTAGTCAATATTTAACTACAGGAAATGGGGTTTCAGGGTATCCTGTATTTTTACATCCCAATGTTGACAGGTATGGACATGAGAAAGTCAGTTTAGGTCTTTTCTATTGAGTCAGCAATTCACTCATATGTTGAAGATTTTAAAATATCATTTCAGAAATATAATGACTTTAAATTAACGTTGAATGAAATTACTGTGCGGTGGCAAAGTGGGTAGCAATGTCGCTTTACAGCAAGAGGATCACTGGTTCGAGACTTGGCTGGGTCAGTTGCCATTTTTGTGGAGTTTGCATGTTCTTGCTGTGTGGGTTTCCTCATGGGTGCTCAGATTTCCCCCC